TTCCTCAAATTAGGATGATTAAATCGAAAAATACTTTGGATAAAATTTACTCTTGCTTGCATAGTTAAGGCAAGATTTGTCGAAGAGCCTTCCTGTGAGAAACACCTCCTGGGGCTTGAAAGAACTAACCTCACTTTACTGTGGACATGTTTAGGAAAGTTTCAACCTTTTTGACTTTTTACATTCCTTTATACAGGAATCATAATCACCTTTTAATACGCCACCATTGGCGTTCTTTTCACCGTAGTGCACATGCCAAATATACTGGATCACTTTATTTAACTGTCTTGATCTCCATGATCGGAATCGAATTACCCTTTAGACAACCAAGATTCTAAAGTATATTTAGCGCTCACTTCCATTTCGAGTGAAGGTGTTTGGTGAAAAGATTCAAAGGTAGATCCCAGCAGAAAACAATGGCAGATTCTTCTTAGCCAGCTGTCGATTGGCAGTTTGGGAGCACGATTAACAGAATTAACGCAATTTACCGAGTACCTTCATAGGGGAGCACTCCAGTTTTCGCACTGTACTCGTACGTATCCCTCCTTACAAACACAAACATACGTGTTTTTCCTTTTTAAGTAGGTCTTCGAGACTGTCAGTAAATTAGCAATATGTAATGCTTATCATCTTTCATTTAAGGTGATGAAAGATAGATATTTGAACTTCCCCACAATAATATGAGTAGAATTTACGTTTTCATCGAAGTTCACTTAGCTTTGCTTTCAAAAAGGTATTGTTATACAGGATAGACTGAAGTTTTGACCTCGCTTGGTTCTCATCAGCATCCCCAGCAAGACTCGAACCATGACAATACAACGTTTACTCTCTACCCGTTAACCGCTACGCCGCATTGCCGCGAGAGTTCTTGGATCGCAGGGCAGATGTGAACTTTAAGGAAGGCCAGCCATTTATCCATACACATTCTCTGGCACGATTGTCGATGGAACGAAATTGTATTTGCTATAGCAATCGATTAAATTACTTAGTTTTTATTCATTCTTAAATATGGTCAATATATCTCATATTTATATGATCTACTGGTAGTCTCTAAAACCTAATTATAAACGAAACATAAATAACGTATTCGATTGTTATGGCAACTACAACTTTGCTTCCTTGACAATCCCACGACAGAATGTGAGATGGGAAATTCAGATGTGTTCTGTGACCCAATGGCACTCGTGGAAATGTGCATAGTGGTTAACGCGTCGAAATTTTTCTTTTTTTTCTTGGTTCTAATCATGATCACTTTTATTTACTTTTTTGCACCCTGTTTCTATACGAATAAAATGCTTGTTGCAAAGAATCTCCTGAGATAAGCATGATGTGAAAACTTTCATTTCGTATGGTAGTACATGACTTACTACTATACGAATGACAGTTTTCGCATCAATCACTCTTTTTCTCTCACATTAAGACAAAAAACTCATCAACATACCCAGACATGTGTCCGACTTTGCGCGATCGGACTGGCGGTTAAAATCTAGAGAAGTTCAAATTACTTTGAGTCATTACTGATAGTTTCGTGCATATATGAACACATGTGGGCTCATACACTCACACGCATAGACAAACTTACATGTTTTGAGATTGATGTGTGACTTGAACTTTACACCTCATCAAAGAGCTTAGATCTGTGAGAGATATACAGCATTTAAGAACAAGCCAGTTAGTTTTCTCAACTCGATAGCTTGAATATGGTTGTAAGGATGATAACCTGTTCTGATGATGTACTTCATAAGATGGACAAGAGATTAACACGTTTTCATTGGAATTGAAGGAGATTGCCTCAGAAGTGGCGCCTCCCAGAATGTTCCATTATAGCCGATCGTCAGTTGGTCATGAGGAATCCACCATCGTTTCTTTGATGGGATCGAGCTTCGAATCTCTTCACTAGACGCTTTTACTCGAAATGAAAGTTGAATAAGAGAGAAAGAAAAAGAGAGAGAGAAAGAGTCCTAGATATCCAACTTTTATTAATAGATGATAAAGTTGTTCTGACACTAAAAATACCCGTTCGCGACAACTCATTGCATGTGCTCAACTCAACGCTCTTTAAAAAGCATTAATAAATCCTCGCTGCAATGGCCTCTCTTTCTATAAATAGTAAGTAAAAAGGACGATTTTTGTTTTATTTTTGTCTCGCTTTAGACATGATTAACCTTTGCAAATTAGCGGCTGAGGAGTCGATTTGCCTTATCAACCACCTAAGCAGTCAAATAAATGATTGGCGGGCGGAGATCGTAGCCGGTCATGCAGTTTCACTGCTCATGCACTTGCGCAACGTCTACCAACGTGCAGCCAGTATCCGCGCTGATACCTCACCATTGGTGACCGGTTTGCCGAATTTCGCTGGCAGCGATTCCGTCATGGAGGAGTTGATGAGTCCATTACCCACAGACTCGAAGATTAGAAAACGCTCTGAAAACATGTTCTCTCCGAGGGGGTCTTTGGCTAATGAGGCGCTTGCCTTGTCAGAGGCAAGTATGCCAGACGCTGAGACTGTGCTCAAAATTGTCGACAGGGAGATGCAGACAGCCACGGATACGATTGTCAAAGCAGAGATACGCTTTAAAGTACCTTTTTACCCTTGTTACTATTATTGATTTTATGTCTAATCTCTCAGCTGAACCTCTGATCACTTAGTTCCAAGGCATCCTGATAATGTACCCTTTATTCTTTACATAGTGGCCTTGATTACCTCATTCAACTGCATCGTCTCGCTTTAAGTGAATTCTTACACAAAATGAACTGTATCGTCGATTTTGCCAATGATATGTGCTCATTCTATTTCGTTTAAGGTGATTCAGGACTGGTAATTGAATTTTCCCACATTCATATGAGTAGACCTTACGTTTCGGGTTGGGAAGACCGAGGCATGGTCGAAACTGTTCTCTACCTTGAATGTGAATGCCTTATAGAAAAGCTAGGTTATGTGAAATTCAATTAAAACGTAAGGTCTACATATATCATTGTGGAAAAATTTAACTGTCTACTCTTCCTAACCTTAAACGAAATAGGGTGAACAAATCTCATAAATCTGATTTATTAGTAGTCTTGAAATACTACTTATAAACTTTGCCAATTAACACAGATTATCTAAGAACTTGAAGAGTGGGAATACCTTCCAGTTTATCCGTATTGGGCCTTCATCAGCTGTCTGTATCTAGGAGACCAGCAAAGAGTAACATTATATTGTTGAGCTCACTTACATTTTTGAGTAAAGGTTTGCAACGAAAGGATTTAATGTTGGTCCCACCAGAAGACGACAGCAATTTTCTCTTGGCCAACTGTCGATTAACTTAACAAGAAAATATTTATCAGATGTGTTCATTATATTTCGTTTTAAGTATTAAGGTCCTTTATTGGTCGGGTGACGTTTAAAGCTCTAGTCAACACAGCCCATCCGGTCTAAGCATCGGTTTTGACCTGGCCTTGTCCACAATGGCGACTGGAGCCAAGCATGAGGTTTCGCCATTGGGTCATGGTACTAACAAATGTTTTCTATAAATAAACTTGGCATTTGGAAGAAAATTAGGGTGGAAACAGCTCATAAATTTATATGAGAAGGACTGTTAGATGAATTTTCCCAAAATAATA